AGATCTTGGTTGCGACCGCCATTCCTGCGCTTGAACATTTGAAACAAATAAATTACTAGATTAGGATGATAATATCATATGCAAAATCGTGGTTGGGATTGCGATTGAATGAAACATACTTGCGAAAATGGAAACTTGAAATTTGGAAGAAGAGATTTAGGGTTTGAAGGATGGAGAGGATGAATAACTTTAAATTTAAAAGGGAAGATGTTTTACAAGAAAATGAAACATGGGTAATGATGGTTGAGTGGGAAGTTGTGTGGCTGCATATTATCAATGTGGCTTTTAATTATTCAAAATTTTGAAGCGTGTAAAGTTTAGGGTTAAATTCCAAATCAATGTGATCTTAGTGATTAAAAAAAATAAATATTGTATCAAATTGTAATGTAATAACACATTAGATACAATAAATGCAAAAATAATATGGTGAGAGTAGTGTTAAAAAAATCTAATCTACCATTATAATTAGATTAAATGTTAATTTATATTAGATATGTGTTATGTGTTTGATTTTTATTAATAAATAATAGATTAGTCTAAAATGAACCATATCCACCTTCACAGTAATCCTTATACGATATCCTTTTATGCGAGTGGAGTATCTAACTTATTCACAACTTAGAAAATGCATTGTTCTTTCTAAATATCCTTCACTTTTAAAGTGATTTTTCGATGAATATCACAATAATTAAACTTTTTTTGTGTCAGTTGGTTAACCAATATTGACTTAATACATTAGTTTCTTAAGTCCTATCCCATTGTTTGTCATGTTGTTGTTAGAATTAATTTATATTTTAGGAATATCTTTTTAGATATTAATTTATATTTTAGGAACATCCTTTTAGGTCTTTTTATATCTTTGTTAGAGGATATTTAGGATTTTATTATACCCTAATTTTGTGTATAAATAGCCTAGTGAGGTAGGTCAATGTAATTCATTGTAAATCATTATTCCTTATTTTTGTAGCCGTCATTAAATATATTCCTTTTGCTTTTCATCTCTTCTTTGTGCACCAACAATTGGTATCAGAGCTCCGATTTAAAACTCACGGGAAAGTATTGTGTGATTGAGAATTACAATATTCTGAATCTGTGTAATTTGGGAAATACTACTTTATTGAGTTTCTGCGTAAATTGCACAAGGTAGAAGATGAACGGAAACGACGACAATATCCATTCCAAGCTTCCAGTTTTTATGGCAAACATTGGAATCGTTGGAAGATCTAGATGCGCGTGTTGTTTGGTTCTCAAGATGTGTTAGATCTTGTCACCGACGACTATGATCAGTTAGAAGCAAATGTAACAGTGACACAAAAGATAACACATAAGGCGCTAAGGAAGAAAGATCAGAAGGCGTTGTTCTAAATCTATCAATGTGTGGATGCGAATGTGTTTGAGAAGATTGTTGATTCTGAAATAGTGAAGGTTGCGTGAGACATACTGGTCAAATGTTACGGTGGTGACACATCAGTGAAGAAGGTGAAGCTTCAGTCTATCAGAAAGCAATATGAGAATCTCAATATGAAGGATAACGAGAAGGTTTTTGAGTATATCTCTAGAGTGATTCTGATCACTAATAAGATGAAAGTTTGTGGAAAAACCCTTTTTGAACAAGTAATCATTGAGAAGATCTTGAGATCTTTAACTTCTCAGTTTGATTACATTGTGGTAGAAATTGAATATTCCAAAGATCTGAGCACCATGAGAGTTGAAGAGATGCAAAGTAGTCTAGAGGCGCATGAGTTGTGTATGACTGCGAGAACTTCTGAGGGGGAAGTAGAGCAGCAGGCTCTAAAAGTAACTTCTGGTAAGAAGTATCAGAAGTAGACTTGGTCAGAAGCCAGGAAGAAAACTAATGGTGGTCAAAGGTCAGAAGCTTCAAACTCTGATAGGAAGAAGAATGTACATAAGGGAAAGGAGAAGTATGACAAGAAGAATGTTCAGTGTTACTGTTGCAAGAACTTTGGTCACTATGTCAAAGATTGTTGGTCGAACAAAGAAATGAATTCAGAAGAAGCAAATATAGTCAGAGGAGATTCACTTGATGAACCTGTGCTATTTATGGCTTATGAATCTGATGAGGAACTGGTGAAATTGTCATTTTCTGATTCTGAAGGGGAAGCAGATAACTCTGAATATTCTGACTCTGAAGGAGTGTTTGAATATGAGTCAGAATCAGAAGATGACGCTGAAGATTTGAAAGATGAGTCAGAGTCAGAAGATGATGATTCTGGAAACTTTGAAGGTGGGTCAGATAGTGAATCTGATTATGATCCAGATTTTGATGTTGATCCAAAATTTGGTGGTGATCATGCTTCTAGAAGGGAAAACTCTTAAGATGTAGGTTCTAGAGGACAAGTTTCTAAAGATGATCATGTTTCTGGTGGAAATCATGACTCCAAGGATGGACCTTCTTAAGGAGGAGCTTCTGAAGGAAATTCAACCTTTGACGATGATCATGATTCTAAAAGTGGAACTTCTGAAGGCAGAGGTGATCCAAATTTTGAAGATGGTATTTCTGAAGGTAGTGACTCTGACTCCGATGGTGATTCAAACTCTAGGAATTTTCTAGACTCTGAAGACAGTCAAGGTTCTGGAGAAAGTCAAATTTCTGAAGGGGAAAGCTCTGGTGTCCAAGGTCCTGAAGTTCCAGTTCAGAGGCAACAAAGAGTCAGAAGCATCCCAAGAAGATTTGCAGAGTTTGACATGTTACAAGACACTGAAGTAAACTCCGAAGGAGAAGTTATTCAGTGTGAAATGTTAGTAGACTCTGAACCTGTGAGTAAGAAAGAGGCTCTTAAGCATCAAGCCTGGTTGTAGGTCATGAAAGAAGAACTTGATGTTATAGAGAGAAACAAGACTTGGAAGCTGACAGAACTTCCAAAAGGCAAGAAAGCCATCATCGTTAGATGGGTTTTCAAGCAAAAGTTAAAGCCAGATGGATCGATTGGCAAACACAAAGCAAGATTAGTAGCAAGAGGCTTTCTACATAAGCCTGGGTTGGATTACTCTGAAGTGTTTGCACCTGTAGCGCGACATGAAACAATCAGACTAGTGATTGCAATAACTGCTATTAGGAATTGGCCTCTGACGCACTTAGATGTAAAATTTTCATTTTTGAATGGTCCATTACAAGAAGAGGTATACGTATCACAATATCTTGGATTTGAGAAAAATAATCAGGAAGGGATGGTGTTCAAATTACACAAAGCCTTGTATAGATTAAAGCAAGCGCCCAGAGCTTGGGATTTGAAGATTGGTTTTTTTTTCAAGGGACAAGGGTTTCAGAAGTGTGAGATGGAGTATGGTGTTTATGTTTAGCATATTTCAGAAGGTAATATGATTCTGGTATATTTGTATGTTGATGGCATATTGCTAACAGGAAGTTCTGAACAAGAGATAGCTGAGTTCAAGAAGGTTCTGATGAATGCGTTTGAGATGACAGATCTTGGGAAAATGAGTTTCTTTCTAGGGATGGAATTTATGTACTCCGAGAAAGGAATCATTTTGCATCATATGAAGTATGAACTTGAGCTTTTGAAGAGATTTAAGCTAGAGAATTGCAAAGTGGCTATCACACATGCTGATACGAATCAGAAAGTTGGACTCTGATTCTGATGGAGAGGATGTGGGTGCTACAACCTTCAAACAAATGGTTGGTTCTCTGAGGTATTTATGTAATACCATACCTTATATTTGCTATGCAGTTGGAATGGTTAGCAGATTTATGAGTAAATCAAAGTGGTCTCATTACCAAGCTACTGTCAGGATTCTGAGGTATGTGAAGGGAACTCTGAAGTATGGAGTGTTATTTCCTTCTGGAAGAAAGATCAAATCAGAGCTTCTGAGTTATTCAGACTCTGATTGGTGTGGAGACAAAGTTGACAGAAGAAGTACTTCTGGGTACTTATTCAAATTTCTGGGAGGTCCTATTTCTTGGTGTTCCAAGAAGCAACTTGTTGTTGTGCTGTCAACCTGTGAAGGTGAATATATTGCAGACGCTTTGACTGCATGTCAAGCTGTCTGGATTCTGAACTTGCTGCAAGATCTGAAGATTGAGGTAAATAAACCTCTGAAGTTGATGATTGATAATAAGTCTGTAATTAATCTTGTCAAGAATCCAGTGCTGCATGGGAGAAGCAAGCACATTGAGACCAAGTATCACTTTCTGAGGAGTTAGGTTCAGAATGGAATATTAGAAGTTGTACACTGTAGCATCCAGAAGCAGTTGACAGATTTTCTAACAAAGACTATCAAGACTGATCAATTTCTTCGTTTGAGGGATGAAATTGGTGTTGTCAATTTTGTGTAAATATAAGTTAAAGGGTGGTGTTAGAATTAATTTATATTTTAGGAATATCTTTTTAGATATTAATTTATATTTTAGTAATATCTTTTTAGATCTTTTTATATCTTTGTTAGAGGATATTTAGAATTTTATTATACCTTAATTTTGTGTATAAATAGCCTAGTAAAGTAGGTCAATGTAATTCATTGTAAATTATTATTTCTTATTTTTATAGTCGTCATTAAATATATTTCTTTTGTCTTTCATCTTTTCTTTATGCATCAACAGTTGCTCTATTATTTAGTGTTGGTGTGTTTAGATTAATTAATTCATAAATAAAAAAATTAGTAATTAGGGTGATTAAACTTTTATACCTAGAGAAATTAATGAATTTCATCTATTTTGTTTGGATTCAGCTCCAACAATGAAACTTATAAGTTTTACTACAATAAATAATAATAAAATAAATAAAAAAACTCGTGTTACTACTCAAAAAAAATCATGTAGTCTTTAATAATAACATTTGTTTCATGTATAACTCGATAAGTTTACAATTATATTTATTGTACTTCAAACTATGAACAGCACTGCTTTATAAACGAGTTGGTAGACTCATTAAATTTCATTTTCTAGGTCACGAGTTCGATACTGAGTTATCCTTTTTTCGTCAAAATTTTCAGATTTCTGCTTCATTTTGTTCATCTGCAACGCCATGGACAAGAATCCAAAGAAAACTCTACGAAAGGTAACTAACTAACTCAAAACCCCCAAATTCCATTTCTCTGAAAAGCGATTTTCAAACTAAAAATCGATTCCGTGTTCGTTCTTTCTTCGCAGATCAAGTACGCTCCGAAAATTCCAAAGACGAAGCCCAGACCTCAACCAACCAAAATGTAACTCAACAAACACTTATTTTAAAAAATTCCAACGATGAAATCGATTCTGTGTTCTGATTCTTGAAATTGTTTTCTTACAGCGAAGAGCGTGTTGAAGAAGATGAACAAAAGAGTGGTGAAATTCAAGCTACTATCCGTCGTTTGCAGGCGAGTTTCTGATTATTGTTAATTACTATTTTTGTTACTGTTGATTGATTAATCTGATTAGTTTAAGTTAATGATATCTGAAAGCTGTGTTTTTTGTCAGAGAAAAATCAGAACAAATGAATTGTTGTGAAATGAGCTGAAATTAATAACAGTAAACTCCTTTTTAAAAGAATTGAATAAAATATTGGAGAACCTTTTTTTTAAGAAAACTCAAAGTAAAATAAAAAAAATCTATTAATAAAACTCTATAAAATAAATTTGTATTGAAAAAAAAAATTTTTTTTTAAGAAGTTAATTTACAACGCGCAGTAGTTAAGTTAAATAAATCTAAATAGCTCTTTTAAAGTTTAACTTTTCTAAATAGAAGGCAAATAGACATTAAGTTATGCCGTTATTTCTTTTTAGATCGTAAAATTAATCTTTTATATTTAAGAGATACAACATTGCTATTCACAAATTTTGAAATTCTACGTAAAAGATCAATTATTTTTTGTCCTAAGAAATCAAAAGTATGAAAGGTAAATGGTATAAAAAAATGTTGATTTTCAAAACACATTTCTCATTATTTGACCATTTTACTGAAAGCAGTTTTGAGAGCTGCATGTGTCACATTAAAACCGTCATCCCTCAAACTTACTAATGGAGAAACTCGCGTCAAAGTCCACACAAACATGTTTCCCTCCTACCCACCTGTACACCAAAACATCTTCGGGCCTAAGTGTCTAATCTCTCCTCAAGTGGGTCAGTCAAAAAATTCACAAGCGCTCTTTCTTCACAGATACTCTAGCACATCGAAATATATCAAACAAGACATCCTAACAAGGTCATGCCGGTATTTGAAGCCTAAAAGCTCCCTACAATGAATCATGTGTTCCCCAAACATACCTTACGACAAATAGGATAAACCTCATCAATAAGAAATAAAGGAATCATAAGGCGGTATCTTAGGATAGTACGATACTCCACCAGTTACATATATTGGCCTAGTCCATCAATAGGAAGCATAAGGTTTAATTCATTAATTCATGTCGACTAGGACTATTAATGGCACAGTTCATTGGATCAAATTATCTTAGAAGTTCATTCGAATTGAACCAAACCATTTCAATTTACTCATAATCAAACCAAACTAAAATTAATGGTTGATATACCGTTATAAAATTTTCAAATGACACTGAATTGTTAGAAGACAATTTTCTCAAACCGAATTATTTGTTAAAGAATCGAATCATTAAACTAATTTTTGATATATATTTTTTTAAATTTAAAACTTGTTTTTAGTATTTTTCATTTTCAATTTCGATTCCATTTCAATTTCAATTGATTTTTTTGTCATATGATTCACTCTAGAACCATCTGCATAATATGATTCGGTTTACTAATTAAATATAATTATTTTATTATTTTAACTTTAATTCGATTTAGTTTGATAGTTCAATTCAAAGTTTTTTTATCAGTGCTAATGATGACATTATTTATTTATATTTTTCTATTAATTTACACAAATGTTTAATATTTATAAATGAACCATTTAAAATTCTTTTTTAATAGAGATGCAATGACAGTAGAATTTTTTTACACTATATTCCAATGAAAATATATCAATATGCATGTCTTATAATTAATTAAAAATTTTCAATCTGATTTAATAGGATACATTATCATCATTAGTTGATATTAAAAAACTTTTCTCAATTTTTTTTTTGTTTGCGAACCCTAGTTCGCAAAAAGCAATATTATTACATTAGAAATCATCAGATGAATTTAAAGTCTGTTGTGTGTATAAGTTTCTTCTTAAATATTCAACAAAATCAAAATCAAAGTAATTTTATTAGAAGAAGCTAATAAATACTACGAAAGACTTGAGTGGTTTTGAAAGAAGCATTTATTCACAAAGTAAAAAAAGCACATGTTTGATAATAAAAAATATAAGAAATCGACACTATATATATATATATATATATATATATATATATATAGTGGTATTTGAGGTAAAGAAAAAAAACATTTTTTGTTATGAAACTGAATTGTCACACATAATGATGAGTGTCTAGTGTCTGACACCAATTTAAAAAATATCAAATTAAAGAAAGAAACTATTTTTTGGGAGAAAACTTGTCTGACTATTCCGACATGTGTTCTACAAGTGTCTGACACCGACGCGTGTCAGACACCGCGGCACGCTTACTCTTAGAGTTGTAAGAGTTTCATAGAAGAATTATACTGAAATATATGGAAAAGGAAGCAAATGTTCCGTTTACAAATTAAAAAGACATGCTAATGATGCCTTTTCTTTCTTTTCCTCTACATTATTTGCTAAACTAACATAACTTTGTTGTTTATCGGTATATTATATATTGCAGGACAATATTGCAGGACGCCAATCTAAAGCTGGAAAACAATGTAATTTCTCCTTATATTTGCAAAACGTTACTGTTTCTAATCTGTTTTCACCACTTTATATGTCAAAAGACATTGTATAAAATTAATAATCACTCTATTTCATGATAGTTATGGTGTTGGGAGGCAAAGAGTCTCATTTTTTTCCACCACTTTATATGTCAAAACACATTGCATAACATTAATAATCACTATATTTCATGATAATTGTGGTATTGGGAGAAAGATAATATTTTCGAATACCAGAAAATTGTTTACTTTCAAATGCATATTTGAATGTGATTTATCATGTTTTTTCTTCACAAAGAAGTTTCATTTTTCTTTACCATCACATTCCAGAACACATTTTTCTCTGAACATTTTACAACACTATTCTATTCATGTTGTTTGTTATTTAGTTTTGGTGATTAAAACTTGCAGCCAGTGTGCAAGATGCATTTCCTGGAAGTTCATCACTATCTCCGAGAATACTTCGCAGTGGTAGTAAAAGAAGTGGCTTAGAATCGAATTTTTCTGCTAATGAGAAAAATGGTTCAACATATTCTTCAACTGCAATCAAGGATTTCTATACTTCTGCGATAGATGCCGCTGATGATTCCACCGATGAAGAAGACTACAAGGAACTATGGGTGAGAAATTTTCTCGTCACTCTTATATTTTCTTCACATTTGTGTCTTTCTCATATGTTTAAGTATCTGAACCATTAAATTAACTACAGAATCATCCTGACTCGATCTATCCTGTTACTCTTCCTCTGAGGAAACCCAATTCTGGAAATCCAGGTTTGTTGAGGATATTATTATTAGCAATAATCAGTTCCGCGAGATATTTGGTTTCGACATTAACAGTTATGCGTTGATTTATAAACTGGCAGCAATTCTTGATGAGGAGGAATTTGGGGAGGCTGCTACTAATGTGGAATATGACGATAAACCTCTTAACTCTGCTGAAGAACTCGGGCTGTTGGTAAGTAATCAGAATGACCTATCATTATGCAGCTGTAACTGTGATATAATGCATAGATTTTTTATGCAGGACAACAGTGAGCAACCAAAGATGATTGTCTTTCAGCTTCCAACTGTACTGCCTGGTATCAAGCAACCGGTGAGCAGGAAGGGGAAGGAGAAAATGGATACGTCAAAAGCAGCAAAGCCGAAAAAGGGGAGTAACTTGTCACAACTTCCGAGTGGATTTATGGGCAAAATGCAGGTGTATAAGAGTGGAGCAGTAAAATTAAAAATCGGAGAAACCCAGTATGATGTAAGTACTATCCATGTTGCAACTTGCAAGTACAAAATCAATTTAGTTTCTCCATTTGGGATTCAATCTAATTGTAAAATATGCAACAATGAGTTTGAAGATCCCGAAAAAGCTATCTCATATTATGGTTATTATACCATTTTTAACTTTGACTAATGCAGTTGATAACAATTTAGTTTTTGTTTGTTATACAGGTGTCTGCAGGTACAAAAACTATATTTTATCAAGATGTTGTTGCAATTAACAAGGCAAAGAAAGACTACTCAGCACTCGGGGCGGTTACAGTTAACACAAAGGCGGTTGTAACTCCTGATCTTGATTCCATTGATTTGTTAAAAGACTAAATCTAAGTAGGACATGATTAAGTGCCATTGTCAGGGAATAGCACAAATTCCCATGGCTTATGTGAATAGGAGAAATATTTTGTGAATACATGTGATTACAGATGCCCTGATGGTTGGTAGTATAAGCTAGGCAGTAAAATTAGTATGATATTGGTGGATATCGCATTGCAGGAAACTCAACTTTCTGTATGTTGAACTAAAACCATTGATGAGTAAAAAAACTATAATCATTGAAAAATGTTTAATTTGCGCCAATGCTTCTGGTCCATGATTTGTAAATATGAATATGATTAGTCTACAAGAGAATCTCTCAAAACCTGAGAAATAATTATGCTCGACTAAGTTCTTTTACTTATTTATTGCATTGATTTTGAGGAATGAAAGCCAAATTAAACATGACTCATAGAGTTTAGGATTAGAGAACTACTCCATATGATAAATTTACTCATAGAACTGTATATCAAAAGGACCAAAAACAGAGTCACATTTAGAAAGTTTTGCACGTGCAAAATAGCCCAAGACTCCAAAACAATTGTCTCATAATGTAGTTGAACTATATTGTGCCTTATCTTTGGACACAATGTACCACCACAACGATCTTGTAATTATCTTTGGACACGGCGAAATGTCGAGCGTAATTATCTTTGGACACGACGCACCACCACAATCAACAAGACCATGATCGAAAGCATGAAAGCAGCACGCAGCTTCTCAATTAAGGGCTGAGAATCTTCTGTATGGTCGTCTTTCTTGTTGAATGATTGTTGAAAAAGACTGATCATAATCTTGGTAATTTTCTCGATTACTTCCATGAATTTGGTTCTGGCAGTAATTAATAGCGAAATTAAAACATTAGTTGACTTATCAGGGTCATCATTAGCAATCTCATCTAGACTCCGAAGTTTGTGCTCTTGATCTGCAAATTTCGTGTCCAGATTAGTCTAATTTTAATTCCTATGTCCACAAGCAAGTAGGTGATAATTATATGATATCAGCAATACAAAACTGCAAATGAAATTGAACCAAAACTCTAAACACCGACCTGCAGATATTGTCTCCCTAAGCTCTTGAACAACTTCATTGTTGAGAACAGCTTCCCAAACAGCCGCATCGGTCGATAATGATTTTACTAATCTCTGCAGCAAAAAGACCTTTAGTTACTAAATATCTATAACAATTGAAATCAGAAAACATAGTATATTTTTGTCGGCAGATTAAAACATTCGGAAGATATAATCACCAGAGCATAGACTGCACCTGGACGGATGGATCAGTTTGCAATAAGTGAATTGCATGATAAACTCTATCAGATCCATTTTCTTGTAGCATTTTCGGATCACACGGAAACAAAAATGGTTCTATCCAGTCAGTTTCTGAATCACCTTCAGAAATTCGGCCAACATGGCTTAGCTCCTTTTCTGGTTTGTTGCAATACATGTCCCTATGAAGCTCGACACGGGAAGCAAGTCCTAACACCCTGCATGTAAACTGAGAGATGTATCACTGATCTCAAATGCAACAACCAAATTCAAAACAAAAACTCCAACATTGCAGTGACCAAACCCTTTAGTTAGGTAAATCCAATGACTAGATCAGTCTGCTTTAATACCGTTGGAGAGAAGCGAGAGAATCATGAAGCTCAGTCTGAGAAGGAGGAGAATCAATAAAACCACCGCAAAACCGACGTGCAGCAGCATCATGATGAGAAGAAGAAAGAGAAATGGAAAAAGGGATTGGTGATTTGGTTTTGGAGGTTCGCGAAGAAGAAGAAAAGCCGCGAAACTTCATTGTAATGGTGAAGTGTAAATGTGAAAGAAACAAGGATCTTTATATTAATTTCAATATACGTTGACGTTGGTTTAACCAAACGATTAGAATCACATTTTTTAAGAAATGGATAAAGATATTGATACAGAAATTTTAGTTGATTCTTTTGGAACATATTCAAATATGAGTTCAATGGGCGTGTGCACGAGTACAGAACTACTCCTTACACGTCCTCTTAATATTTTAAATTGTCAATCTTATTTGGAACTTTCATGATTAATAAAATTCATTGTCACATTTCCATAAAATTTGTTGAATCATTTATTTTATTTTAAGTTATTTAATTTTATTAAAAAAATGATAAAGTTTTATTTAAACTTATAAATTAATTTCACTTCTTAAATTTATTTATTTATTTTATGAAATTTAATAAATTTTAGTAAACTTAGTAATTTAATACTTTATTTTATAAGAAAAACTTAATAAAATATTTATTCCCTAAAATATATATTACATTAATTATATATATTTTAAATATTTCTAAGATTTGTAACTTCCACACAATTATTAAAACATATAATAATTAATTAATATTAAATTAATATTAAATTAATATTAAATTAAAATTAATAATAAATTTCACTAACTCTATTATATCTCTCTTTTTTATTAATAATTAATTAAAAATTAACCTACTAAAGCACATCACTCACCACTAACTATCAATTTCTTCAAAAAATAATCATTAGTTTACTTTTATATAAATTTATCTTATTAGGAGTTGTCTATATAATTTTCTTTGTGCAAATTCATTCTTCGTTATTTTCTTCTATGAAATTTATTATTATTTGTTATTCATTATTTCCTTTCATGACATTTGTTATTATTTGTTATTATGTTTGTTTGTAGGTATAAAATTTAAATTATTGAACGGTATTTTTTTATAAAGAAACTGTTGAAGATATTAAAATTAATATTCTAAGACATATATGTTATATATTTTAATGTTTTGAGATGACATTGTAATTTATTATTATAATTAGTGTCGGGATTCGTTTGTTTAGTTTAGTTTAATTTTGATCAATAATACCATTTATTCTCTATAATTTCTAGTGTGCTTTTGTGTTTTTTTTGTGAAATAATATTGTGTTGATTGTTTACATAGCATATGCGGTCTTTAGAGTAATTTTCTTATAAATTATTTTAGTATTTATGTGATTTGTTTTAAAGGGATTTAAAAAATTGTGATGCATAATTTTCATATTCATATTTTTAAATTGAGATATGTTTAAAAGATGATATATTATTGATATCGTTATTGATGTGTCATTTTTCGCTTTCATTTTTGTTGATATATTTCTTTTATAAAGTTCTTCTTTTATTTTTGAATTTTATTTTATATTTATGATTTACTTTTTTTCAATGGTATAATCATGTCATGAATGAATGATGGTACAATACACCATTTTAAATTTTGTATAATATATTCTCTCATAGGATTTCCAAAAATTAACAATAAAGTATATGATTTAAAGTTTTAAAATATTTTTAGAAAATAAATTCTTTTACTTTAAAAAAAGAAAATATATACGACAACATAAGAAGAAGAAAAAGATAAGTTCAATTGAAACGATATTAATGATAATAATTACTATATTGACAAGTCTTTAAAATAATAATTTCTCTAAAATGATCTCCAAAACTTAACAATCAAATATAGCGTTAAAGTTTTAAATTATTTTAATAATAATGCATGTTTAAATTAAAACATACTCTATAAAATTTATATATTATGACAAGATTTTACTATATTATTACATAAATAATATTTTATTTCTATCCTATGATCATATTTTTCTTTATTTGTTCTTTTTATATTTATTTCTCTCATATTCAATTCATTAGCATCAAAATCACCTTTCAATCAATCAATAATGTTATTATTGTTAATTTTATAGTGTCAATGATATATTTTATTTGATTTCCTATAAATTCTCCCACTAACTTCCGATATAAATTCTCTATATATTCACACACTATTTTTTAGACATATTGTTAATTTTTTCTCTTTTATATTTATTTTTTAATTAATAAATATATTATATTAAATTTTGTTTAAACATCTAATTAGTTAATACACATATTATTACAATTTTATAGTGAGATTATTAATTTTCCGTGTATCGCACGAGTTAAGATACTAGTTATATAAAAAAATACTACTTACACAATCAAATTATATAAATAATTTAAAATTTATAGTCTTATTTAGTAAGATATATAGTTGAATATGAGTTAAATAGACATGCACGAGTAAAGAAATACTCCTTACACAATTAAAATATTTTAAAGTGTCAAATTATATAAATAATTTAAAATTTATAATCTGATTTGATAGGATATATAATTGTCAATAGACTATCCTTTTCTCTTTAAATATAGCTGTCATTTTTTCTTCAATGCTAAAATGTTAAATAGTTTTTAAATATGCTAAAATATTAAATTGTTTTTAAATTGTTTCTTTTTTCAACTAATATTAAATAGTTTTTTTTATTTCAGCTTTTACTTAAGGTTTGACAGTTAAATGTTAAGTTGATAATATTTATTTCTTGGGGATTATTGTTCTCGGGGTGCTTTTTTACTACTATAAAAAATCACAATTATTCATAGCGTTTAGAGATGCTACTCAGTGCTAATGGATAAGAAATTTTTATTTTGTTAAAAATATCGTCTTAAGATGTATATCAGTTTTAATAAATATGTCCTATTACTTCAAACCAAAAATAATAGATGAAAATTATTATTTTATTAAAAATTTAGTTTGGAGATGTATTTCTAGAATATGTCATGCTAGTTCAAATTAGAAACAACGGATCAAAAACTCTTATTTTATTAAAAATTTAGTCTAGAAATGTATCTCCTGAATGTGCTCTGCTAGTTCAAATTAGAAACAATCAGGAATAACCGAATAATGGAAAAATAATATAATATAATATCAAAGTAAATATTACATAGATAATCGTAGTGGCGGAGCTAGAAAAATTATTAAGCCTGGGCAAACATTTAAAGACCGTAAATTTATATTATATTGTATAGAAATTTATATATTATCTTTTGAGTTAGAGATCCAAGAAATAAAAACCATTGAAATGAGCAGTCATTTCTATATCTTTGATATATTTGGTAAACCTTGACAAGAGATCACACTTAACTGATACTGTAGATAACCAGCGGGAATTTAGACATAAATATCAATCATGGTCAATTGTTTAATTAATTTGAATGTTAAAGAAGGTAACCATTTCAGACATCTCCAATAATTCTAAGACTATTTACAACACAAACAATAACAACGACAACCAGAAAACAAACAATAACTCACTATGTAATGACTGAACTTGAACCATATCTTAGCAACATCAGAAATGATTCACGGTATGATTGCTTCATCTTTTTTTTATCATCATTAGTGTTCTTCAGAATGTTGGAAACATCAAACAACTGATGAGCATTGGCGAAGATTTTTGGTTTATCAGCAGGAAAACAAGGAGCTAAAAGGAAATCTGTAGAACACTTTTGTCTTGTATGTTTGCATAGATTTTTGTCAAATAGTGGCATTATAACATTGTCGCATAACAAATTTTGAACGAACCTATTCCGTGATCTGTGGTGGACAACATGAGTAAAGTAAATCTAAGAAAATAGGATGCTTGGTTAAAAATCTGGTTTAGGAAAAATCAATTTTATACAAAGTTTTAAATTTGTTTTTCTGCATATTATACACAAAGTTTTCTTAACAGATGAGAGAAGGTACTCTGCATGCTCTGCTTGAGGCTGTGGGAAAGTGGTGCTTACTTGCATCATTGTTTACAATAAAATTGAATAAATGACCATTCAAAATAAACAAACTATGACATTGACTCATTACAAAACTTCATTCGTACTAATTTCATAATATTTCACATTAAAAAAGTACTTTCATAGTAAACTCACCTCACTAGACATTTTCCCACCAATTTCATACTCTCAACTCCATCACATTTTCATACTAATTTTGTGCATCTAACCTGTTTATAGTTTCACACAAACAAAGTTACAAGATCAAATCACATTCAAAAGATGAAAACTTGTATAAACATCTTGGCGTTAAATTACATGACAGAAGAATATAATTCATTCAGTTTCAGCATGAACATAAAAAAATAACAGCACAATAACACTCATCCTGTTTTGACATCATTAGTTGGAAGCTCATTCAAGTCGAAGTGAAGAACTCAAACCGATATTTAAGCTGAAATCACGGTTAAAATAAAATTGATTTAGATAAGACCTTATTAAATAAAAGAACATCAGATTTAAAACGAACATGATCACCTTTATCGAATCGAATATCTTCAGAAACATTTGTAATGATAACTCCATATGGAACCATAAGATCTCTCTTGTTCATTTCATCAACCACCACTAAAAAAGATAAAGGAAAAATAATCTCAGTTCAAAACTTTTACCGAACACTTGGTGGGCATAGCGCAAAACAAAAAATTTGACATCAATTCTCCATCAACTAGTTAACCACAACCTGCAACAATAATAAATAACAACACAACAACATCAATGTTGTAGCAAGAATTGAACTGAAACAGAAGCAAAAAGAAGAAAAAAAATGACGAAGACATTTTACCAGAACGACAAGAGCGGAGCCACGGTGTACGTCTGTTTGCGGCATGGTGTCATGGAGGATGGCCATGGAAGATCTCAGGCGCAAGATGGTGAAGTCTGGTTGGGCGGAGCCTGGGCAACTGCCCTACCTGGCCGTATGCTGGCTCCGCCACTGGATAATCGTGACAACATAAATTTAACATTACATTCTATTACAAACAGGTAGTTCCAGATGTTGAAACATCCTTATAATATCTTCGTTTGATCTTACAATCGTCACATCCATTTCAATCAAACCCTTTGTTGAGTAACAGTAAAATGTGCTCCACATAACCTTTAAATCTTCATCCGTCTTCAGTTCA